AAACCACTTTGTAGCGTGCTCCACACTGGAAAAATGGCTTATTGTGTTAATGCAGAGCATAAACAACACAAATTCAATACCATTGGAAACAAACATAAAGGTTAAAATCACCCTGTTGTCAGACTCAGCACCTAGTGACAGTGGAGATACACCTGTATTATTTGCTTAGCAAATAAGCAAATGGAAATATATCTTTTATTAAAGGTGGCTCAGTGGCTAACACATAGCTTGTTGATCAGAAAGTTTGGCAGTTTGGTGGTTTGAGTCCCTAGCGCCGCATAACGGAACGCCCTATTACTTGTCCCAGCTTCTGCCAACCTAGCAGTTCGAAAGCACATAAAAATGCAGGTAGAAAAATAGGAACCACCTCTGGTGGGAAGGTAACAGCATTCTGTGTGCCTTTGGCATTTAGTCATGCCAGCCACATGTCCATGGAGATGTCTTCGGGGAGTGCTGGCTCTTTGGTATTGAAACAGAGATGAGCACTGCCCCCCCCCCTAGAGTTGGGAACAACTAGCACATATGTGTGAAGGCAGTGGTGGGTTCCTACCTGTTCGGACCAGTTAAGCTGAACTTGTAGTGGATTGATGATCTGAGTTGCTGGAACCGGCAGTGACCCAGATCTGCCATGCTCCCGAACTGGTTTTCTTATCCATCTTATTTTTTGCTTCTGTGCATGTGCAGAACAATTTTTATTATACTGCGCATGCGCGCACAGCATTCATCAAGCACGTGCACAGGTGCTGCACACCCACGAGTGAACCAGCAGTAGTGACTGCCGTAACCCACCCCTGTGTGAGGGGAACCTTTACCTTTAGCTATCTATTATTAACTTCCCAGTCATGTCCAGCTCAACCCTAAAAGTTTTGATGGCTTCCCATTCTTCTGCTAATCTAGTCTGATTCTGCTTAACCAGCTCAGGAATGACCTCATTTATGACTGAACTCTTTCTTCACTGAAAACATCACTGCCAATATGAAATTGCTGTTATACGAATCTATGGTGAAGGAATGGAAGGGATCGTTTATTCTTCCTTCATTTATTGAGATGTTTACTCTGATGGTACTTTAGTAATACCTTATTAAAATTATTATGCTTGCACAAAAAAGAGGGAAATGGATTAGAGCTGTGAAACTAAAGCTAGGGTTCCCACCAAAGTTGCCAAATGTATCCCTCCATGAATGTGGGGGGTAGCCGTCAATTGTAGCGAACTCCACACTAGAAAAATGGCTTATTGTGTTAAAGGCCTCTGCAGAACTGAAGGATTGGCTTTCACAAGATGGAACATTGGAATCCTCAAAGACATCATCACATCATCTTGTTTTTTGATATCTTTCCCTGATAAATCACTGCCTCTTTACCTCAAGAAATAGGTTGCTTTAATTTTGTTATTGTGCTTGGGTCCACTAGTAGATTAGATCCCACAAGTTAGGCTTTTTCTCCCTCTCCTCTTCAGAGTTAAGAGTACATGGGGCAAATGTATCTTGAGAAGAGACGGGCCTGGCTCCCCTTCCCTCTCCTGCTAATAGCAGCTGCTGTTCTGTATGCAGCAGGGGTGGGTTGCTAATCCCGTTCCAACCGGTTCGGTTGGAATGGGGCCGGCGGCGTCCTCATGCATGCGCGCAGTTCACGCATGCATCTTAGCACCTGCGCGATGCTCCAGCTGCTCATGGAGACTCGCGCAGGTGCTGTATGTGCCATGCGCCTGCGTGGAAGCGCAGAAGCCTTCAAAGACCGGTAAGGAGCGCGGGCGGGCGGGAGAGCCCTTCGCCGTTCCCAGAAGTTACTTACTTCCGGGTTCGCTGACCAACCGGTTCATGGGGACCGCCGCGAACCGGTTGAAACCCACCCCTGGTATGCAGGCACTGCAGCTATTATTTAGTAATGACGCAAGAAACCTTGTCAGAAGAGCAATCTCTTAGCAAACTATGGTTCATGGAGTCTGTTATGTATTTGTGCGTCAGAAATGTGTTCAATAAAGCAAAGAAGAAAGGGTGTATGATGAACTGTGCCTGGCAATTTTTCAAAAGTTTTCCTACCTTATGAAAGAAGCTTCTGTTTTTCTGGCTTATTCTCCAGATGCTTGAGCATTTCTTTCAAATTTCTCTGGGTCATTCATGAGCTTATTATAATACTGGAGGTGGTAATAAGAAAGTTCATGTTTTCTGTTATATACTTTGCATCATTCTGTCTTCCTAGTATGGAAAAGCTCAAGTCTAGCATTCCCTTCCTTGCCTTCTAAATATTGATCATGCAGTAAAAAAATCACACAGACCAACAACCTTGGCTACCTCATAACTTTAAAAAGTGGGGAATGCCCAAGTCCATCTTCGGGAATGTATTTATTGTGGTCTTTGTAAACTGCTTACTCCACATGGGACACTCAGCAGTTAAAATACATATAAACATAAAACATTTTAAAAGCCCATAGCCACAACCACAGTAACTAGAAATATCTCAACAGCAAGGATCCCATACTTTAAAAAAAAACATTTCAATAATTACATTAAAATAACATAAAAATTATTCAGTAAAACTTTCCCAGTTTGTTTTGACTACCTTTCTAATTACAAAAGGGAGTTGGTACAATCTATATGTTCATAGAGATGTACGGCATCTCTCTACAGAGATGGAATTTATACCAAAAAAACATGGTGCCTTCATCATCACTTGATGACAAGGACTTTCAAACTACAGTTCATGATGAATCCATGAGATGGGTCAAGACAGGTCAACTTGAAGGAGGTAGTCCCATATATGTCATTAAGACCTTTCAAAATGAGAGCAGTTTGATTGTACTTTAATTCTTGGTCATTACCTAGCGATTACCCTAATACATTTGGAAAGAAAATAATTGAGCCAAATGAATACAACCAGGTAGAAAAATAGAAGTTATCAGTTTGAGGAAGTGTAATGGCTCCTCTCCTAACTTGAGAAAGTAAAGACTCTTGAAACGGATTATTTCAAAAAGAACCTTTAATTAAGCAGAATGGAAACCATTAAAGGCAAAGCAACATCTGAAACCCTTTAGGCAATGCAAGTGGGATTAAACTGATAATGACCCTTCCCCTTTGTCAGAGTGCAGATTCTGGCCAATACACAAGTGTGAAGATGTTTCCTTAACTCTTCTGCCCTAAGAGTCGAATAAAAGACATGTTCCCAGGGCTATCTCTAGTTTGACATTAAAGTAAGTTATCCCACATGACCACCATAAACATCCCTCCAGAGTGCTGGGACCTCCAGCCTTCTGGCGACAGGAAACCAGTTGTAAATTTCAGTTGTTACAGGTACTGCTAGTAATTTAACTCCAAGGCCCTGCTCCTCCCAATTGAATGGCAGTATCACATAAGGGATCTGACAAAGTTATCTGTTTCAATACAGGAGAATATTTGTAGCTCAAGGTTGAAATGAGTGGTCAATGGTGCTTTCTAAGTTTGGTTGTTCATATGTTCATACATATGTTGCTTTGAGTTTCTGAATGAAAGAGATAAATCTAATATATGAATTCTTTTAGTAATTGAAATCTCCATAGATATTGTATTATATCACTTGCAACCTGTTCCTGTTATTGCAATAAATGTATTTAGAAGAATATGGATTTAAAAAAATCAAGATGGTCTCCACATACAATACACTTTTAAGGGGATTTTTTTAATACTACCATCCCCTTACAGATGCCCCAGAGTAGCACATATTTTACATGTAGCAGGCTACCAGTTTATCTATTTCCTTATTATATTGGGTTGCTGTTACAACATCAACAAAGAAAGATTCCCCTTCAAATACTGACATGTTCTTGCTACTTAAATTATATTGTATGAGCAGTGTCTCACTCCAGTAATAAACATAAATTAATTATGATCACTTTGGGCCAGAAAAAAATGGGGAAATTGTTGCATCCATGCTTCTCCTGGCACAAAAGTTGCCTTTCCTTGACTGGCTAGACTAGGTAGTAGCCACATTCTTCTCATTTCAATATCCATTATGGAGGGAGTATGGATGTATTTGGGTCAGGATGTACTAGTTTCATAAGCAGTTTTACATAAGATAGATGGGGAAGATAGTGTAGAAGATGACAAGGAAGGGAGAGGTCAAGCATGTCAACAGTCTTGACTCCCTACATGTCCACAAGAGATCTAATCCAGTACATCTTGAATTCAATTTGCTCTTATCTACCGCCACTTTAC